CTACTTTGAGCCAGAGATTATGTGTTTGCTCCTAGGCTTATTGCAGGATAAATACAGTAGTTAAATCAGATATTACAGCTTTCTCAAAATACAGGCGTCTCCCCAATTTGTATAGTTACATCAGATTACTTAATTTTACCACAACACTTACTTTTATTTGAGTAAACTTCTAACACATTTACTTTTTCTGATTTAAGTTACAGCCATTGACTGTGTAACAAATTTACTATGTTCCTATGTTAATTTAATTGTCATATTATTCATTGTGGGTTACTGTAACTACGAAAATTAATACAGCGTAGAAGTTTCAGACATAGCCAGGTATATACAATGTACATACAAAATGGCAAGGATTCATCATCCCAGATCAAACCTTCACATTTCCTGTACTTTCCATCATCTTTGTGACCTCATATTTATAAATTCATCAGGCAAGATGGAAATTTACCAACGCATTTCAGCTGACAGTAAAATTTTCAATCCCAATCTGGACTCGGTACATAAATACTTACGGCATTTCCTCGGGCAAGACATCTGATAAAATATTGATGGAGTCGGTTTTCGTCTTTGACGTGGGTGCGGCTGCCAGTAAAATCTTTAGTAAAGCTATCTGAAATTACAGATTATAACCCCGATTGTCTGTAATGGAATTTAAAAACTCATTTAGGACTCAAATGTATCAGGTCAAACTTGAAAAGGAACGCTCCAAGACTATTTTGAATACATACCAAAGCTTGGAACTTTCGACTTAATTATCCACATTTAACCATTTTAAGAATATGAACATTATTTTTCCCTACTCAGTCTTGCAGTCAATTGTATAAAATCAGTGATCTGTCACCCATAGAGAAGTTCTGTTACAGAAGCTCTGCCTTATAGATATCAGGATACTGTACCATGTATTGTGGGAGGTTTGGTAGCATGGCCTGGAACAGGATCTCCACTGGGGAGTTGGGCACTTCCTTCTCCGGCTGTGAACAAATTAAAAAGTAAGAGGTCACGTTTTAATGATAGGTCCCGATTATTCTATCATTCCCGATTATTCTATCATTCCCGATTATT